TCCCCCATGGTACCCCAGCCCCTGGTCCCTGGTGCCCTGCACCCCCCCAGATCCTGAGCCCCTCCAGCCCCAGCTGCCCCCACCCCACCCCTGAGCCCCCTCTTCTGCCAGCACTCCCAGACACCCAGCCAGAGCAGAGGATTCTGGGTAGAGCTGAGTGGCCCCGTGGTTGCCCCAGGGAATTCTGGGTAGGACTGAGTGGTCCCATGGTTGCCCCAGGGGATTCTGGGCAGGGTCAAGTGGCCCCCATGGTTGCCCCAGGGAATTCTGGGTAGGGCCAAGTGGCCCCATGGTTGCCCCAAGGGGTTCTGGGGAGGGCTGTGGCCCCGTGGATGCCCCAGGGAATTCTGGGGATGGCTGAGTGGCCCCCCGTGGTTGCCCCAGGGGATTCTGGGTAGGGCCGAGTGGCCCCGTGGTTGCCCCAAGGGATTCTGGGTAGGGCCGAGTGGCCCCGTGGTTGCCCCAGGGGATTCTGGGTAGAACCGTGTGGCCCCGTGGTTGCCCCAAGGGGTTCTGGGGACTGCCAAGTGGCCCCCGTGGTTGCCCCAGGGAATTCTGGGTAGGGCCGAGTGGCCCCGTGGTTGCCCCAGGAGCTTGCGGGTAGGGGAAGGAGGTCCCCACTCACAGACAATCATGCGGGCACAGACGTCGCAGAACTTGGGCTTCTTGAAGTAATGCTCCTTGAACTTGTGGGGCTTGTCATTGACGGGCGGCGGTAGCTCCGGGGGCGGCTCGGGCTCCTCCTCCTCCTCTTCTTCCTCCTCGTAGATGTAGTAGAGGGGCCCCCCCGAGGGGCTCACCAGGGCCCCGTTCTCGGGCTGTGGCTCGGGCGTCTCAGGCGGCGGCTCCGGGGCCTTGCGCTGGAAGAGGTGCCGGAGCCGCTGGATCTGGGGGAGATGGGGCTCAGCAGGGAAACTGAGGCACAGAGGATGTGTCCTGGGCGGCGTGGCAGTGACAGAAGCAGGGGTGGAACCCAGGTGTGCGGGCTGCAGCCCTGCCCCGTCTTCACCCAGGAGACCCCACACCCCTTCCCCAGCTGGGGATGGAAACCAGGCATCCAGGCCCCCGGCTCCCACTGCCCTAAAGCACCAGGTGCTCCCCCCCCTTCCAGGCCTCAGATACAACCCAGGTGTCTGGGCTCCGAGCCCTCTGGCCCACTCGGCCCCCTGGGGAGATGCTGGCTGCTAGGAAGACACAGATAATGCCCCCAGGGTCCAAGTTGTGGGGCAGTAGCAAGGTCCTGCCCCACTAGGGCTGCCCAGGACCCTCTGGTCCCAGAACGTACCTGGCCCTCGGCTGTCTCTCCCGGTGAGGCTGGTGGCTCCAGCGCCTCCTTCTCCATCATACTGCCAAGGCAGGGTAGGGGTCATGGCTCTGGCTCCCTTGCTCCTGTGCCCCCCACTCCCAAGATCTACCTGGCCCCCCAGTCCCAGTCCCACTGTTTGGGGGCTGAGGGTCAGAAGTGCAGGGCACCGGCAGGGCTGGGGGGGGGAAGGGGGTTGTGGGTCAGGAGTGAAGGGCACTGCCAGGGCTGCAGGGGCTCACCCCTCTGGGGGATAGTGTTGCTACCCCCCACTCTGCAATGTGCCCACCTCTGGGTCTCCCCACCAGCTCCCCCAGTCGCTCCTACACTGAAAGCACCAGAGCTGGCCCCCCCCATGGGTCTCTCCCACCCCCAGGGACGGACAGCAGACCCCCACAGCTCCTGTAAGGCTGAGGGGGGTGGCGGGGAGGGGTGCAAGGGCTCTGGGGTGCGGGGGGCACTCACACTGTGGCCGGGCTGGGCCGGGGCCTCTCACTCCAGCTCCAGGCGGTGCCTGCAGATGGGCCAAGACAGCTGCGCCCGGCTGACAGTGAAACCTGAGCTGGGCGGGGGCCGGCCACGCCCAGGGGGGCCAGGGAACAGCCTGGGGGGCTGCCCCATGCTGGGTGCGGAGGCCCAGCTCATAGCATGACATATCATCTTGCAGGGGCTCATGAGGTCATAACCCCATGAGTAGGGGGTCACACCCCCTTGTCCTCCTTGCATGGAGGGGGGGCAGGGTGTCAAACCCAGCTCTCCTCTCTACCCCCCACAGTGTAACCATGCCCCTTGCAGACGGGGCCAAAGGCCAGGGGTCAAACTCGGAGACCGCCTTTGGTGACAGACGATTTTTTTTCTTTTTATATTTAAAAATCAAAAAATCCCCCCACCCCCCAATAATAATAATAAACCCATTAAATAAAATGTACAGTGACCAACCCAGCGCGGCCACGCGGCGCCTGACAGAGCAACGGACACAGGGCTGGGGGCATCAGGGCCAGCCCAGGGGTGGTGGTGGTGGTGGTGGTGGTGGTGGGGGGGGTGTGTGTGTGTGTGTGTGTGTGTGTGTGTGTGTGTGTGTGTGTG